AGACACTAGACTCTCAGACACTTGACACTCAGACACCCAGACACTAGACACTCAGACACTAGACTCTCAGACACTTGACACTCAGACACCCAGACATTAGACACTCAGACACTAGACACTCGAAACTCGACACTCGACACTTGACACTCGACACTCGACACTCGACACTCGACACTCGACACTCGACACTCGACACTCGACACTCGACACTCAGACACTAAACACTAGACACTAGACACTAGACACTCAGACACTCGACAATCAGACACTAGACACTCGACACTCGACACTCGACACTCAGATACTAAACACTAGACACTAGACACTCAGACATCCAGACACTAGACACTCAGACACTGGACACTCGGATACAAGACACTCAGACACTAGACTCTCAGACACTTGACACTCAGACACCCAGACACTAGACACTCTGACACTCGACACTCGACACTCAGACACCAAATACCAGACACTCAGACACTCGACACTCGACGTCACTCGACGTCACTCGACACTCGACACTCGACACTCGACACCCGACACTCGACACTCGACAATCAGACACTAAACACTAGACACTAGACACTCAGACACTCGACACTCAGACACTAGAGTCTCGACACTCGACACTCAAATACTAAACACTAGACACTCCGACACTCGGATACAAGACACTCAGACACTAGACTCTCAGACACTTGACACTCAGACACCCAGACGTTAGACACTCAGACACTAGACACTCGACACTCAACACTCGACACTTGACACTCGACACTCGACACTCGACACTCGACACTTAGACACTAGACACTCAGACACCCAGACACTAGACACTCAGACACTAGACCCTCGGATACAAGACACTCAGACACTAGACTCTCAGACACTTGACACTCAGACACCCAGACACTAGACACTCTGACACTAGACACTCGACACTCGATACTCGACACTCGACACTCGACACTTGACACTCGACACTCGACACTCGACACTCAGACACTCAGACACTAGACACTCAGACACTCGACACTCGACACTAGACACTCAGACACTCAGACACTCAGACACTCAGACACTCAGACACTCAGACACTAGACACTCAGACACTAGACACTCAGACACTAGACACTAGACACTCGACACTCGACACTCGACACTCGACACTCGACACTCGACACTCGACACTCGACACTCGACACTCGTCACTCGACACTCAGACACTATACACTAGACACTAGACACTAGACACTAGACACTCAGACACTCGACACTCAGACACTAGACACTCGACACTCGACACTCGACACTCAGATACTAAACACTAGACACTAGACACACAGACACTGGACACTCGGATACAAGACATTCAGACACTAGACTCTCAGACACTTGACACTCAGACACCTTTTTGGCCTCAGTTCCGTCGAACCCAAATGTACGAAACAGATATATCATCAGTTTTAATTGACTTTGGCACAGACGGCATGCACGTTATTTACCCTAAAGCCATACAGTTTCCAGCAAAATTCAATTATGGTACGGCTGAAAAAAGGATGTTGCCCTTAGTTTTGTCATGAGCATTCACCGTCCATAAAATGCAGGGCAGCACCGTCGACCATGCAGTAGTATATTTGGGCTCAAAGTGGTTTGAGGAAGGACAAGCATACGTGGCTCTAAGTCGAGTCAAGTCTCTGGAAGGTCTATGTATTGAGGAATAGATTGTACTAAATTATCAGGTAAGAAACCATGTAATAATGATGCACTGAATGAATTAAATAAAATGAGGAATATTCGGTAAACAATTTCACTAAATACTAAAAACAAGAAAATAAAAATCGGTAAAAAAACTTTTAAGTTAAACGGCCCCACGTTTTTATTTTAGTCTAATATGCCTAAAAGCTATTCTGCCTAGTACTAAAATATTTCTGAACTAGAAGGTCAAAATACCTACTTGTTATAGTGCGGGCTGCTTAGTTTACCTACCAAGCAAACCCTGGTGTTAGTGTTCTCTCATGAACTGCCTTTCGGCCGCTGACATGGTTCATGTTATGACAACCACTACCATCAGAGATATTAATGACCGAGATCACCTACGTAGGTTGATAGGTAAGTAACTATTTATTTATTTTGTAGTTTTCAGTGCACATAAAATAAAACCGTTTAACTTAAAAGTTTTTTTACCGATTTTTATTCCAACTACCTTCCAAAAGGATGTCTTAAAATTTTGTCCCAATTTTGAAATCGACCTTTATAAACTACTATCCAGAAATGCTTCCATTTACTTGCGACAAACACTTACGACATTACAATAAACTTTGTTCGTAATATGATTTTTATCATTCACCCGTTTATTTTAAAATCTGGACAAAATAATACCATACAAAATTTAATATGAGATCAAATTTTAAATCTTCTTTATTACATATATACAAGCACTTTTTACGAATGCAGAGTTCGAAATGTTGTTATCTGTTGAGAAGAGCCCGCAAGAAACTCAACAGTTACTCTTTTAAATCTCTATTAACATGGCGTGAATTTACAGGGTAAAGAGGAACAACACCTGAGTCCTTTAGGAATGGCAACGCATGGGGGGTATCATGGGCGAAACAGTACACTCTGTTATGTCCATGGTACTGCTCATGCCTATAGGCGACTGTAACCACTTTCGATCAGATGGGCCGTCAGCTTGTTTGCCATTCTATGTTGTATAAATTTTTTTTTAAAAAATAACATTATATGTATTTATTTAAATGTACTACGTCTAAAAACGCCTTAGAATAATATATAAAAAAAGGATATCTGTTACTCTAACATTTGATGTATTATTTTTTTAAATCCATTCGTATTTAAGTATCGTGGAGTAAACAATATTCAGAAATCTCTACAAACTGTCACATTTATATTATTGTACAAGTGAGATGACCATGAAATTACATTGTATACAAGCTAATACTTATAATTTTCGATAGTATCTCATTGTATGTTATTTATAACACGTTACAGTAGAATTTTCTTGATTATTATTGTAACAGCTCGTCAGTATTATCGGTTTTCATGTACTGCTTTTTTTTTTATCAAGGACTGATTCTTCTACGAAAAACTAAATTTAAAATGTTCCCTCTTCTTTATAAATATTTTATATATATATAATTTGTACGTGGAGCAATAACTATGTACTCTTTTTTACGTAAATTGCGTGGACGGAGGAGTGTGAAATTTCGCACACTTATAGTTTATGTAGAGAAAGAGTAATAATATAAATTAAATTAATAATAAAAACACATGTTACACACACTACCATATATTTGATACACAGATAACACATATATACACTTTTGTTTATTGTTAAAATCTGTGACCAAATTTTGAATAGATCAATATTATTTGTCTATAGTCATTTATTACAATATATGTTATGATCGAGTTTCGACCACCCAAAGGTTGTCTGGAAGAGATTGCTTAGCGATAAGGCCGCCTTTTGTATCACCTCTCATTAATATTTACTGTATTTGTTATTTCTCTTTTTACTTGGTGCAATAAAGTATAAATAAATTGACGATTGATTGATTGTCGATTACGACATAATGGTATCAAATAATGACTATTATGGAAGTTAAATTAAGCAGCAAGTTACACTGAAAAACAAGATCATTGCTAACTACAGTGGATTGGGTATACAGAGTAGCTGTCAGTTAATTCATTTTTTTTCCTTTTACAACAAAGCATACAGCCAGTCTAATGGTAAATGGTTATTATAGCCTATAAATGCTTACAACAAGTATATTTTTACATTACCAATTCGTATGAATATTTCCAACACGTGTAACTAACTAAACAGTATTTATAAGACAAAATAAATATAGAAGTTATAAAGGAATCACTCATAACTATTTATTACGCAAAATTATGTGAAAAAGTTGACCCGTATTCCTCGAAGCATTTCTGTGGAGACACTCTATCTATATAATCTATGATTAAATAGTAGATTTTAAATATCACCGCCACAAATAGCCACAATTGTTGTTGTTATGGCAAATAGAAAAAAAAAATACATATCAAGAATTTTATTTTGTTTTTACAACCTATGATTAAAATATTTTTCATGTAATATCTTAAATATTGGTATTTTTCAAGGCTGTGTTTTCAATTTTTCACACAATCTAATCCCCTAATTAGAAAAAAACGTCGTACAAACATATTTTAACTGTTAGAATGTTCTATCATTGTTTTTCAATGTGAGAAATTTGTGTAAAAGAAAAGAACAAAACACTTAATAGCTAAAATATGTTTTTGAGAAGGTTTGACGTTAACTAAATGGGCTAAGTGGGGGGAAAGGGGTTGTTAGCAATGGAGTTTGACAGCCCCATTGCTAGCAATATGCCCTATCAGGTCGACCTCCACGTGGTTCCCCCTGGAAACCATCGTGAACAATTCTTGTTGAATTCGTCACAATGGCCAGTTAGCCAATTGTGCTTCATCATCACCTGCTTCATCCTCACCTATCATCCTTCACTGGTGCCCCGCCGGTGTATACCGATAGCGCGGGTGGGGTTACCATTCCATTATCACCCATAAAAAAATGGACTAAGTATTTACATTCGTATATCTTATATTTTAAAAGACACACAGACACATACACACACACACACACACACACAGAGAGAGAGAGAGAGAGAGAGAGAGAGTTTACTTTGAATATTATTTAAGAAAATGTGAATTAAAAAATAAAAATTATGAATATACTAAAAGACATTTGTACGTTCACAATAGTTTTATGCGTTCCAGTCCCGAAATTCACTGCGCGATACATAAATGCCGGCGTTCACCCAACATTTTATTTTCGTAAATATTAAAACTACAGAAAAGTTTCCGAGCAAATTTAGACACTGATAAATTTACCGCTAATAATAAAACGTGTATCTATACAAGATTCGTTCCAGTGACAAAAAGATTGTTGCATAAAAACGTCTTGGGAATTTAATAACACTCACCATGGTGTTGTAGTGTCGTAGGTGGAGAAACAAAGTCACTCGCGTACGATACGAACGAAGTCACGACGTGGACTGCTCACGATGCGAACCGCTCTCAGAGCGTAGCGTTATCTCAATATGACGTAATGGTTGCATTTATGGGGAGTGCACGTTTTGCGCTGGATTGTTTATGGGTCTGGAAGTCAGGGTTAGGACGGGATCTGTGAGCGAACGCAGAAACCTTGATGAATTGATGTTACGCTGAGTCGTGTTGATATTTTATTAGAAAATTTTATAGTAACGTAACTGGTTTTTTTTTATTTAAATACCTTTTTCCCCATTCATTTGTATGTTGCCAAACTATGCTTGCATGGTTCTATTTTGAGTATAAAAGTGGGGCATGACAATGTTATGTCAGGGTGCCAAGGAATAAGCAAATAGTCTAGATTTTTAGTAAATTGTTTAGGTGGTTCCCCCTGGAAACCACCGTGCTGAATTCCAGGAGTATTCGTTACGATAGGCTAATTGACCTGCCTTTTCATTCTCACCTATTATCCCTCACTGGTGCCCCGCCAATGTATACCGTAATGTAAACGGGCTTACCATTCTATTATCATCCACGATAAGTCTTAAAGAATGGTAACATTTTTTTTATACAACTTAGAATGGCAAACAAGCTGACGGGCCATGGTAACATTTTTTTTTATACAACTTAGAATGGCAAACAACCTGACGGCCCACCTGATGGAAAGTGGTAACCGTCGCCTAAAGACATGAAGAGTGGACCATGGACATAACATAATATACTGTTACGCCCATGATACTCCCCATGCGTTGCCATTCCTGAAGACTCAGGTGTTATTCCTCTGTACCCTGTAAATTCACGCCATATCCCACTCTTCAAACCGAAACACAGCCATGCAGACACAACTGCTTCACGGTAGAAACACGAATGGGGCAGAGGTACTCAAGCAAACGACTTTTGTACAAAGTCTCCTCTCCCTCTGGGAGGGTAACCAAAATATGCCCTCCGAAGCTCATATCACTGTGAAAGTCTATAGGTGACGTTTTTCATCAGCTAGACAATCAGATCCTATTTCTACTACTATGTTTTTCAGCCAAATTAAAAAAGAAAGTTCCCAATTCAGTTGTATTTTTTATGTTTGTTACCTCATAACTCCAACAGTTGTTAACCGATTTGGAAAAATTGTTTCTTATCTGCAAGGATATACATACAGATTGGTCCCATGGACATTTTATCAAAATAAGAATATTAAGAATAAGAATATTTTTATTTCCTTGAACAAATATGCCTATTGTACAATATAGCTATGACCCCACACTAGGGGGGGGGGGGACAGGGATTGTTAGTAGTGAGATCCAACAAACCCATTACTAGCAATATACCCTAACAGGTCGACCTCCACGCGGTTCCCCCTGGAAACCATCGTGATTAATTTTTGATGAATTCATCACGATGGGCTAACTGACCTGCCGTTTCATCTTCACCAATCATCCCTCACTGGTGCCCCGCCAGCGTATCCCGATAGCGCAGGTGGGGTGACCATTCCATTTTCATCAATTAAAAAAAAGACCCCACACTAGACAAAGCCTGTCTCGTGGAAGTCAAAGCAAGTCATTTTACAGTTATGGTGCGGCGAATAGGGTTAATTTAATTATATAATGTTTCATGTGAGTTTGGGTACACGTAGGTGCATGGTTTGTGTGGGCGTGTGCGTGTTCGTGTACGCGTGCGCGTGCGCGTGTGCGTGTGCGTGCGTGCGTGCGTGCGTGCGTGCGTGCGTGCGCGCGTGCGTGCGTACGTGTGTGTGTGTAATAGGTTTAGTAGTTTAGTTTTGAAATCAAAATAACTAGTTTTGTTTCCATATTTTAAGTAGTTTTTTTGTGCAATACAATCCTAATTGTTATGGTATAAAAATATAATAACAATTTAGGAAATATTCCATGGAAATATCTCTATAAGCACGCGTGAGATTTTTCACTCGCGGACAAATTGCTATCAACAATAAACAGGTACTCAGCAGTCGACCTGAAATATCTGTTACAAAAACGTCTCGAGGAATCTGTCGTGTTGCCATAGTAGTGATTTTATTGCTTCTAGTTCTCCTTAAGTATACATAGGAATTTGCAGACTGTTGCAACTGTTGATGTGTTCATTTCTTGAACACCTTGATGGTGTAATGGTTCAATAACCCTCCCTCACTTTCTGATGGTCACGAGTTCGATTCTCGCACAATGCAACCTTTTCTATTTATGAATCGGTCTGTTTATAATAAAAAAATAAAAAGGTTTATTTGGGAACCTTAGCTTAATTTACAGTTTTCTTTTCCTAGGATCGATAATAACTACATTAGTCACAAAGAGACTGTGTCGCAGCTTTTTTTTTATACAACTTAGAATGGCAAACAAGCTGACGGCCCACCTTATGAAAAGTGACGCGTTGAGGCAGGACTTCTTTTTCTTCTCTCTTAATTATTTTGCAGTCATTTATTTATTTATTTATTCCATCAACTGAATGAGCTTTTTTTTCCAAAATTATTTGGTTTGCGATTGGGATATAAGTATATAGCTTAAGCGTCTTAGTTGACTTAAGCTGCGATTTGTTACAGCATAAATATCTAATAGCTATTTAATTCTTGCACGCGTAATTTATTTTAATAGTGCTTCGGGTGCTTATTTTTCACAGCGGCAAGAAGGTGATATGTATTGATGTGACTTGTTAACTGGATGAGCTTTACAGACTTCCAATACGCTCACCCAGGAAAGCATCAGTACAATAACACATATAAAAAGGAATAATAATACATTTAATTAAATGGGATAATATTGAAAAGATTTAACTCAACTAGAAATAACATTAGATCCTAAATCTTAGAACACAAACACTGTGATCATTCGACGAAACTCCAGCAAGTTGGAGACAAATACGTTATTACTGATTAGGCTTTTACTTGTTTATATTTTTTTAGACTCCATAGTAAGTACAGTCTGTGCTTAGTTTACGTCCGACTAGATGGCGCTGTTTTTTTTTAATGGATGATAATGGAATTGTAACCCCGCCTGCGCTATTGGTATACACCGGCGGAGCACCAGTGAGAGGTGATAAGTGAAAATGACAGAGCAAGTCAGTTAGCCCATCGTGATAAAATAAATCTGGAATTCAGCACGATGGTTTCCAGGGGGGACCGCGTGGAGGTCGACATGACTGTGTGTATTGCTAGCAATGGGACTGGTAGTCCACATTACTAACAATCCCTCCCCCCTGCATATAGTGTTAGAGTGTCCAGTGTTTGTCCAGTGGTGTATTTATTATTTGTTCATTTCTATTTGCGCAGACGCCGATGGTGACGCCGGCCAGGTGCGAGGTGACGACGATTGTAAAGCAACTGTGCGGTGGGGATGCCACAGGGTAAGATACTTGGACCAGTATTGTTTAGTTTTAGTAACAGTAATTCAAAAGAATTGAATCAAAATATAAACAAACAAATTATAAAGTCGATAAAAAGATAGTCTGATGATGTCCAATGGTAGTACGAATAAAAGATCGAATGATTAATATCGAATGTTTTGATTTGGTACAAATTACGTTTAGAGAGTGTTGATGGTGTGTGTGTGTGATGATGAGTGATGAGTGACGATGAAGGAGTGGTGATGATTCCAACAAAACTTCTTTACCTTTGTCATTTTTTTTTATTTATTTATTTTATTGCAAGATGTATTAACATTAAAATTATGTTACTAACTATTTAGGCCATTGTTGTCTTAACATTGTGATTATTATTTTAACTACCTGAAAAACAGTTCCTAATGGCACACGCAACGATACCTGACACATTTTGATAAATATAAAACTGAAAATAAAAGATTTATAATTTGTTTTTTGATATAAGATATATATATATATATATCTTATATATAAAATTCTCGTGTCACGGTGTTTGTTACCAAACTCCTCCGAAACGGCTTTACCGATTTTTATGAAATTTTGTGTGCGTATTGGGTAGGTCTGAGAATCGGCCAACATCTATTTTTCATACTTCTCCATAAAAATTTTTTTTTTATATTTTTAACATATTTTTCCATTTTTATTTTATTATGATTAAGCATTGAAAAATACACACAACTTTAAATTTTCATCATTTTACGATCAACCCCTGTCTTTTAATCGCGATTTTTATATTTCGCATTAAGTGGTAAAACAACGTTTACGGGGTCAGCTAGTAGTATATATATATATATATATATATATATATATATATATATATATATATATATATATATATATATATATTGTATTAAAAAAACTATACCCTAATAAAAAAGAGTTCAATCATTTAGTAAACAAATAGTTATCATTCTAAAATCTAATTTAATATTTAAATTTCACAACTACACACATAAAAAATTACTAAATTCCGAGATAAATCATCGCGTGTCTATATAAGGAATTCCATTAAATGTTCAACCACAGTAAGGCGCGCAAATCTTATGCTCTCTTTCTATTACCATTTAAGAAATAGAGACAAAAATATAGTGTGTTGATCGGCAATGCGTTACCAGAATGTTACACCTACGCTTTATTTCCCATATACAAATCGCTGACTAATTGCTAGAGAGGAAATCAGCGTTCACTCAAGCCGATATGTCTTTATTTGGTAACAATTAAAACATTTTTTTTAAGCTATAAATTTTGTATACACATGACATTTGGACGTAGGCTACATTTTACTACTATTCCATTTAGTGAACATGTCACAGTCATGTGGACGAGGTCGCGGATGAAAGCTAGTCACAAATAATTGTCCTTCATTAACTCAATAATATTTAGGTATTTATTTTTTGATGAAAATGGAATGGTAACCCCGCCTGCACTAACGGGATACACTGGCGGAGCACCGTTGAAGGGTGATAGATGAGAATGAAAACAGGCCGGTTAGCCCATCATGATGAATTCATCAGGAATTAACCATGATAGTTTCCAGGGGAAACCGCGAGGAGGTCGACCTGGTTGGGTATATTGCTAGCAATGGGATTCTTAGTCTCCATTACTAACAATCCCTTTCCCCCCCATATTTTGGTATTTAGATTTCATTGCGTGCGTCTCGTTAATACGAAAGGCTACAAAGTATTTTTTTCTTTCTTTCCGATTTAACAAGTATGAGGAAAAAAGTCGAAAAAAATCGAATTAGCAATGAAGAGGTCCTGCTTAGGGTTAAGGAAAAAAGACAAATTATTAGAACTATTGAGGACAGAAGGGGAAAAATGTTGGGACACTTGATACGACACGACGAACTTATGAACATTATAATAGAAGGTAAGATAGAAGGAAGGAGGGGGAGAGAGAGACCGAGACATAGTTACATCAGGCAGATCAAGGAAGGAGTTGGTGTCGTGTCGTATCAAGAGGTGAAGAGACTCGCTGAAAATCGTAGTGAGTGGCAAGAGCTCCATCGATAAGAGCGCAGCTCTTAAATAGATAGATAGATAGAGGAAAAATGTGTTGTTTCAAAAATCAACAGTTGAATTAATAGATTATCTAGGTTCTCTAACAAACAATTGTATTTATATCGATAAACTCAAGCTTACGTATTCACATACGTTTAATCCCAGTACTTTGGAATGTCTAGTATATTCCGCATGTACAATACATACAAACAAATGTTTGTTACTGATAATTATTTTTATATCTAGAAATATATTTTTCCTTAATATGACTGTTGATTAGCAAAGTCGACTAGTTAAACTTTAGACTTATCTCCTATATAACTACATAAAACCAAGGACGAAATTTTAAAATATATGATTTATATATACGTAAAAATATAAATATATATCAGGACCGTCCATTATGGCAATCTATGGGGAAGGCCTATGTTCAGCAGTGGACGGATAATGGCTGAGATGATAATATGTGTTTCTTCCCTGGGTCCATCTTTTTTAAACGGTTTTATTTAGCTCGACCTGTACGGTATTTATTTTTATACAACTTAGAATGGCAAACAAGCTGACGGCCCACCTGATAGAAAGTGGTAACCGTCGCCTATAGACATGAGCAGTACCATGGACACAGTAGAATAATTTTTTCGGAATAATTCTTTCGGTACGTACCCCCGGCTGTCACTATCGTATCCCACATCTTTCCACATAGTGACACCCTATCTATCCCTTCCCGTGGACTGCTTTAAAATCCTTTCAAAATGTACTCAAAAATCTTTTCAAAAATTCCAGTCAGCAATCCTGGCATTGCCTACAATACCTGGGCAAGCCCAGGTACTGTATGGCCTCCAGTTCGGAAACTGAAGGTTGCACATGTTAGAAGGCATTGCGGAAGGCAGCTGCATCCCTATTAAAGCATCACTAAAGCCTAACTGCTGATGCCAGGGAGGAAAGGGATTGTTAGCAGTGGAGTTTGACAGCCCCATTGCTAGCAATATGCCTTATTAGGTCTATCTCCACCTGGAAACCATCGTGAACAATTCTTGTGGAATTCGTCACGATGGGATAACTGACCTATTTCATCCTCACCTATCATCCTTCACTGGGGCCCCGCCGGTGTATACCGATAGCGCGGGTGGGGTTACCATTCCATTATCATCCAATAAAAAAAAAAAAAGAAAACTGCGGTTGCCAACCCGCCTGACAAGCGTGGCAACAACTGTCAAAATTCCAGTACAGGGACTTCAAACATTGAACAGTTCATATATACCTTTATTTTTATATAATCAAGTTTACAAACAAACAGCCAAGCAGATCTTTATCAATTTTCACATAGTCCCTAGTGACGGTTGTTGCATTGGTACGATTAGATAGATATTTCAATCGAATTAAGTATGTGATAACATTGCCAATTTGTGTGTCACGCATTTAAAGAAATTATCTATATGTCACTATTTCTTAATAAAAATATACACTAATCCCCCATTTGCGTAATGTTCTAAAAGTGTGGAAACGCTTTATCTTTATTATCGGAAAGATAGAATAATTTAGGAATTTTTACTTTATCAAGTTGTTATTTTTCAGTATAACTGTCCAATCACAATTCTTGCCAAGCCCGTGTTTTCCTTGTTTCAAATTATTTATTTATTTATTATTTATTTAACTCTTTATTTCATAAACAAAAATATATAATGACAATTGAACATTTTAAGTCAAATACAGTGACATAAAATAGAGATTAAAAAAAAAAAAAAAAAAAATATATATATATATATATATTTTATACAACATAGAATGGTAAACAAGCTGACGGCCCACCTGATGGAAAGTGGTAACCGTCGCCTACAGACATGAGCAAAAAAAAACATGAACTAACAAATTCATTTTCGAATTTATAATATTAATAAAGGTGTCAACTTTAATACTTAATATTCGAATGCATACGTTGCCAGGCAACCTTTGGGTCGAAATACATATCATATATTATCAATACAAGATATAAAAATTTATGCATTTATATATATATATATATATATATATATATATATATATATATATACATATCCATAATTATTTAATTATACCTATTTATATACGATAAGAGATATTCATAAACATATTATTTACCTGTTGCAAAGGAAATAATGTTATTTTACGTAAAAGAGATTTCGGTTTCGATTTTTGATGGAATAACATTTTTTTTTATATTATACTTTGTTATGTCTACAGGCGACGGTTACCACTTTCCATCAGTGGTGGGCCGTCAGCTTGTTTGCCATTCTAAGTTGCATAAAAAAGGTGCTCGCCTTACACGAATCATGATGGCTTTGCATTACCCGCCGAGTTTAATACGCCTCTCGCATTGAGAGCGTAATATTAACAAAGGTGTACTATTTACATCGGCGGGTTATACTAAGCAAATCATATTATAATTCATGCAGGGTTTTAACCCCATAGGAATCAATAATGTATATAGATAGTAAACGACTAAATATTCGAAATAAATATATGCATATTAAATAAATAACTAATTAATACATTAAATAAATAAAAGCAGTACTAGATTTAAACATTTAGATTATTAATGCGGAAAGCTTGGTTGCTATATGACCCGGAACCTTATCTATACGAAGTGAAACAAGTTGAATCATTGGGCAATCAATTGGATCATTATTATCAAGCTAATAAATTTAAAAATATAGATTAAAATAAAATTATAATCTAATCATTTTAATGTTATTAATCATTAGATATACCTTCCCGCGACTGTGTGCTTATTTATTTATTTATTTAATACTTTATTGTACACATCAGTTATAAAAATATGACAGAGGTAAACAAAAGTACAAAGGCGAGCTTAACTCTGATAGAGTTTTCTTCCAGCAACACTCAAAGTGGAAAGGAGCATCAACGTCAGCTTTGTAATAATTATTGAACACTAACGCCATCTAGGAATCTTTTTCGGAAACAATT